CGGCCGTCAAAAAAGCAAACAGAATGTTAGGAATCTTAAAAAAAGGGATAGAGAATAAGACAGAGAATGTCTTATGGCCGCTATATAAAACCATGGTATGTCCACATCTTGAATATTGCGTAAAGACGTGCTCACCTCGTCTCAAAAAAGATATATTGGCTTTGGAAAAGATTCAGAAAAGAGCAACTAAAATGATTAGGGGTTTGGAATGGGTCCCATATGCAGAGAGATTAAAAGGACTTGGACTTTTTATCTCAGAAAAGAGGAGACTAAGGGGGATATGATAAAGGTCTATGAAACCATGAGTGGTGTGGAAAAAGTGAATAAGGAAAAGTTATTTATTTGTTCCCATAACATAAGAACTAGAGGACACCAAGGCTACGTCTACACTGGCCCCTTTTCTGGAAGGGGCATGTAAATTTCACCAGTCGTCGTAGGGAAATCAAAGTACTTTGAAGTAGGAATAAGACCCTCCGGAAAAGGGCACTTTTTCCGGAGGATCGGGGCCAGTGTAGACACTCTTTTCCGGCTTTTTTAAAAGCCGGAAAAAAGCGGCGGACATTTTTATGTAAATGCCGCGGGGGATATTTAAATCCCCCGCGGATTTCCCTACGACGACTGGTGAAATTTACATGCCCCTTCCGGAAAAGGGGCCAGTGTAGACGTAGCCCAAATGAAATTAATAGGTAGCAGTTTAAAACAAACAAAAGGAAGTTTTTCTTCACTCAGCGCACAGTCTGTGGAATTCCTTGCCTGAGAATGTGGTGAAGGCTAGGACTTTAACGGGGTTCAAAAAAGAGCTAGATAGATTCATGGGGGTTAGGTCTATCAATGGCTTTTAGCCAGGATGGGTAGGAATGGTATCCCTAGCCTCTTTCGTCTATAAATGGGTTTGATAGGAGAGGGATCACGTGAGGATTCCCTGTTGTGTTCCCTCCCTTTGGGGCATCTGTCACTGGCCACTGTTGGCACACAGGATACTGGTCTAGATGGTCCTTTGGTCTGACCCAGTATAGCCGTGCATAGGTTCTTATCCTCTACTGTAAGGTCCCTTCTGCACCCAAACTCCATCCTACACCCTGCACCCCCTCCATAGAAAAGTGCAGCTCTTGACCATTTTCCAAAATCTTAGAGTGCCCCTCATCAAAAATTATTGCCCAGCCCTGGGCTAAGCTCTGGTTTCCATTGGGCATGTATCAAGACAGTGCTCAGATTTCAGCTCTTGTTTTCACTATTGCTTCCATAACTATCCAATGGATGGTGCCGGTGTATCATAAATTCCTTTAATCCTTTTATTATCTGATTCATTTCAAGAACTGTATTCCATTATTAGCCATTACTGTCACTTGAAATCCACCACCACACACACCTTATTAAGCAATAGCTCTTAATATGCCAATGTTAAATCATGATTTATAGCCTTCAACATTCCTTTTTCCTTCCGTCAGACAAACCGTATTACTTCTAGTGTGCAACAATTTATGTATAATGTAAACTAACAAAATCCCTTATAATCCTCTAAATTTGGAGGACATTCTCCTTACATTCTTTGGTTGTATATAATTGCAAATTGCAGCAAGGTTGGTTTAGACTGGACTATCTAGGAAAAACTTTCTAACTGTCAAGAGTGATTAAATACTGAAATAAGTTGCCTAGGGAGGCTGTGGAATCTCTGTCATTGGAGATATTTAAGAGCAGGTTAGACAAACATCTGTCATGATGATCTGTCAACCGTGAGTGTTGGGGCCTAGACTTGATGACCTCTCGAGATTCCTTCCAGTTCTATGATTCTATAAACATCTCACATTCTTTAAGACTTACAGTAGAACAAAACATATCCACGTAAGGAAGGATCTAACTCCCAGAACAAAAATGTGCAGATTCTTCATTTGGGGTGGAAACGTGAGATTTCTTGGGGTAACAGATAGTTTGCCCAATTTGACCTTCAGCCTTACAGCCAGTGATTTGTAGTTTGTTTAGTGGTGAAAGAAGCTTAAAATTTCTCACAGGTACTGTCCTATTGCCACCCGGGTCCCCACCAGCTCTTTAAATAGCTCCCCACTGGCTTTTGCTGCAGCTCAGCCAGCTCTTGTCAGAGCAGTGCTCTAGGGCATACCCACTGACTTTCCCCTCTGAATTTTCTTACTTTGCAGCCTGCCCACCCATCTTTTGACCCTTGCACAAGGTGCAGTGGACTCCTTTGCACAGAAAAACAGTGTCACCGTGGCCTGGGAACTTGGAGGGAGAGAGAGGTTTCATCCATCTGCAACTTATGAGCGAGTCTTTCCTGATTAACAATCCCTTTTGGCTACTTTAATTTCCAATCTTGGAGAAACAAATTCCCAACCTTGTCTATAGGTTCCTGTCTCCACATTCATGAGGGTGCAGGACTCAGGACCAGAGATACTGAGATGGGGTATGGTCTAGGGATGTAAAATCCCATTTAATTGGCTAACCAGTTACACATAGGGCATGTCTAGACTAGGTTTTTTCTTTTGAAAGAAGATATGCAAATTTGGTGCACATTTGCATATCTTCTTCTGATTGTTTTTTTCAGAAGAGCTGTAAAGCTCATTTTTTGAGGAAGAAGGTTTCTTTCAAAAATGGAGGTTTTTTTTCCAAAGAACTGTGTCTAGATTGCTTGCTTTTTCAAAAAAAACCTCTTTCAAAAAAGCTATTGGAAGAAGATAGGCAAATTTGCACCGCATTTGCATATCTTCTTTCAAAAGAAAAACATAGTTTAGATGTGCCCATGTTGTTTAACTGGTTAACTGATTAAAGGTGGGCAAGCAGAGAACTGCTCCAGCCTCCACCCGTTAACTTTAACTAGTTAACCCTTCAAATCACTAGTCCAGGCTAGACATGAAGAGCCATGTGCTGCTCCGTGTCCCTAGGGAAATATCACTGCTGGATTTGCTGGCACAGAGCTGAGTGGGGACAGATGCTGGAGATGATGCTGGGGACAAGGACCTGGGCAGCTCCCCATTGGTGGCTTCAGCCTCCTGGGAACTGGCCTTGGTAGCTGGTTATCCATGGCAGCAATTAAGCCCCAGGAAAGGGGAAAGGAAGACGTGGAGACTTAGCCCTAAGTCACACAGAGAGGCGAGAACTAAGGCCATGTCTTCACTAAGTGGAAGATCGACGCTGACAAGATCAATCTTCTGGAGTTTGATTTAGTGGGTCTAGTTAAGACCTTCTGAATTGAACTCATAGGGCACCCCCATTGGCAGCTGTACTCCTGCTCCTGTTAGAAGTAAAGGAAGCTGACAAGAGTGTTTGTTTCCACTGACCTCCCACTGTGCAGACCATGGGGAAATTTGAATCTAGGTACGTCGACTTCAATTAAGGTAGCTGGAGTCCCATATCTTGATTCCACCTTTCCCTTTAGTGTAGACCTGGCGAAGACATGGAGGCACCCAGATCCCACTTCAAATACCAGGGGGAACATTAACATCTGTAAATGGCTGGATATGGGGGAGGATTTAAATACCCCATGCTTGATTTGCATGTTCCAGCCGGTCGCCATTTTAGAAAGTGACTAGCCCAAAGTAACTGCCCACGTCTACACGCAGCAGTGAAACGAGATTCCGATTTAAAGCCCCTAATTTGAATTAGCTGGTAAAGCTCATTGCAGGAGTTACAGTGCTGCAAAGCACCAGGCTCTGGCACTGGGAGCCACAGTCTCAGGGCAACCACCCCCCTCGTAGAGGTGCTCGGTCTAGCGCGCCTGCCGCCTTCACTTTAAAGCGCTGCCACAACAGCGGTTGAGCTCGCCCACAAAGCTGGTGACGAGGCCGTGCCCGGGCGCCCAGGGCGCCAGTCCCACCGTGCACACGCAGATCCCGTTCTCTGGCACCTGCCCTTTCTAGAGCCACACGGCACCCCGGGACCTGCTGAAATGTGGCTTCCCG